AGTTCTGATGGTGCTAAAGAATTGAACCAACAAACACAATAGAGAGCTGCAGGCATAATAGTTTTAGATGGGTTTGTTTTAAACCCAAAATTTCACAGCCATCTGTTGATTCTGGTACAAAGAAACCAAATGAGGCTGAAAGAAAATACCACTGAACACAAAAGATCAAGCAGTAAACCAACACTCACTCCTGTTTGTTCAGTGCTTGAATCTGTGAAGTCAAAACTGATTTAATATGAGCATTTTCCTGTTTAGCTGGAGACTTTCATGGTTTTTCTTATTCCTCCCCTGGGCATCACACAGCTTTTTCACATTTTTTTTTTTTAATTTGTAAAGAAGAGAGTAGAGCTGAACCACACTAAAGGTGTTACCACATCCTCAGCACCACTTTGCACAGGATGCAGCTCTAAAGAAAAGCTTCAGTAGACTATATCCCTCCTGCAACTGCTTGTCCTCAGACTGATGAGCAAGAGGGAGTTATTACATGAAAAGTGGGGAAAATGATTGATATAGAAAATGAAACAAACAATCTAAAAAAACCCCCGAGGATGAAGGACACTTGCTGCATGTGTTTCAGCCACTGTCACAAAATGAAGTGAAAGGAAATTGAAGAATTCATCACACCTTTTTAAGAATTTTCTTTTTAGTTGCAGAAATGAGTGGCCATTTACTTGCAGTTAAATCTTGTCCTCACCGATATGCATTTGGTGGTAGACATAAGTGAAGAGCCTTCATTTCTTTGCATGCAGCTTCTTCTGCAGACACCTTCAAGCTTGCATTTATGCACCCTGAATTAATAGGGAAATCTGTATTAGCAGTGGTACAGTCCAGCAGCATGTTCTCTTCTGCAATTTATTCCCATTTTGATTATTCTTTCCAGTAATGACGGGTAGTTCTTACCATTGACCATAATTATTTTTTTCTCTACCATCTCTCATATTAACTCATATTCCTGTTGTTACTTTTTAGTTGACCAAAAGACCATCATCACTATAAAAAGAAAAAAAATCTCCCCCTTGTTTCCCCCCCACTGATCATAACAAATAATTTTTACTGTCACTTACAGTTTGTCTGCTAGTGTTTCCAACCCAGTTGTGAGACTTTGGTAAGTTTGTTTCTTTTCGAGATGTTATCTTGCTTAAGTTCTGCTGCTGCCAGTTAAATAGCAAAACTGTTTTTGCTATTTAAGGAGACACTAGCTGTCTGCTTTGCTAGTGTACGTTTATAACCCTAATTCTGTCTTCTTTCAGCTTTCCTTTTTCTCTTTTCACACTTAGCATTTGTAAGAGCTCCTACATGCGTTGCGAGGCTTGCATGGCGGGGTACCTGCCTGTTGAAATCTCCAAAGAAAAGTCATGGCAAGGTGCTGTATCAAATTGTATGCCCTACATATTAATTACTATTAAAAATTTGTCCATTCTTCTCAGTTCTTTCACTTCTTTCTCATTTACTTATGGACTACGAAATACTTAACTTGTTTAACTGATTTATAATAATATTCCATATTTTGCATACACACTTTATAAAATGATTTTTATTTATGAAGTTCTTTGAGACCCTAAGGTAAAAAGTTACAATGATTTCCAAGTTATTGCCATCAAATTATTGTTAACTACAATTTGTAAAAATACTCTGAAGTCTTAAGAGATCAGCTGAAAGCAAGAGACTTCTAATTACTTGTTAGTGTCTTCATTTCCTGTTCTGAAATACCAGTAGACTGGAATAAATTCATAATTGGTCCCCATGGCTAACAAAGCAGCTTCTGGCTTTCCAGCAGGTACTGTCTACATTTGGATGTCCAATTTCCTTCACCTACCATTATTGAAAAGGTTGGGACATCCAGAAAGCAAACTTCCCAAAGTTCTCCCAGAGTGGTCTGTGATTGTTAATGAATAAGCCAGCATGACTGCATGCATTGGCTAACATCATATTTCTGCATCCCCCTGTAGATACTCTGAAGGAATCCAAACCAGCACAAATTTTATTTTCCCAAAAACCAATTTACTTGAAGGTTTTGCAACAGTCATATGCTGTACAAAAGGTGGCCATAACTCCTGACCATATGAACCATGCTCCAGAAATCTTCCCTGTGGCTAGGGGCCTCATTCCATGGATGCTGAGGGCAAAGGGAAGCTTTTTGTAGAGAGGGATCTCCTACCCAGATCTCTCACTGTCGGACTAAGGCAGGTACCACAGATCTTGGGGTTAGCCTGCCCATAGCTCCTTACACAAATGCAGCCAGCTCGTTACACAGAAAGTTTGGGGGCAGGCTGAAGAGTCACCTGTTGGCCATTGCAGCCCCATAGCCTCATATAGCTTATGGCATCAGTGGATTCAGTGCTGAGCCTCCTTATTTCAGTCTACCTTTGGCTGACTTTTTTCTTTATGGAAAAAGGCTATATTGTGACAAGACACACTCACCAGCAAGAAAACACATATTTTCTTGTCCTGCACCCCACTATTACTAGATCTGCCATCTATTTTTTTACAAGATTTTTTTTCCATGCTACTGCTTATTTAGCACCATATGGCAACATGGTTGCTGTTACTATAGATGCATACCATGGGGCTGACTTCTTTTTTGCTTTTCTCCATACTGAGGTTATTATCATTGAAAGATTGCATGGCCTGTAGTTTAACCTAACTGTTGTGAACCTAATGGGAACTGAGAATTTCAGAGCTACAGGATAGGACACAAACATACAGGGCATTCCCCTTTCCCTCATGGCTTCTCAGTCTTGCCACTATCCCTTGCACCTCTCAGTGCCCTGCTCCTCTCTGCAATCGTAGGCACTGGGAAGGTGCTTGGGCATGTATTGCTCATGGGGTAAAAACTTCCACGCTACCACTGGAGACTTGTCTTCGGCTGAATAGTTTCCCTTCCTTAGACTTCTGTTTATTCTGCATGCTCATTTAGATACTTATTTTAATTATTCAGTGGCTGTGTCTCATGTGATTCCAGAGAAAGCCTGGCATATCTCAGTTTTCCCATCTATCCCTGAAAAAGAGATATTAGTTATTTTTGCCTTTTTTTTTTTTTTTTCTACTGCTAATGTGCAAACGGCATCCATCAAAAAATACTTGCTATGGATGCAAAGAGAAGTTTATTTATTTCCAAGTGAGACACCCAAACCTGTATAGGAAGACAAATAAGGCATTCAACAACTAGGGAGGATGCACTCAAGTAGAGAAGTCCAGCACACTATCCATAAGGCCATTACAATATTGCTGCACTTATGCTTTGTTCTCTTTTCTCTCTCTCAGTTGCAATCTGTAAGTTATTGGCTGTTTTAGCTGTGCCCCGAATTAACACCTTCCTCCTGGATTATATGCGGTAAAAGCATGTAAACATGTAAAAATATATTGATTACTGTACTGGCGTGGGACGGAAGAGCCTCTAGTTCGATGCTTTACCTCCAATGGATAAGAATGTGAAATATTACAGAGAAAGGAGTAAACTCTCTATGTATCTCATTGCACACTGTTGAGGCAAAGGCCAAACATTACTTTCGAACTCAATATTAGCTTAGTAGCTTCAAAGTGAGGGGCCAGACAACTTCACCTGTTTGATCTCATGGTTGTATGGTCCTCGGCATTATAGTTAATTGGTATTGATGGTTGACTTTTAAACATTATTCTTTCAGTGTTTCAGCTGGAACTGTAAGATTGGAGAGGGATTTCTATACAAATATTTTTTCAATTATTAAAAATGCTCAGTGTGTGTTATTGATTACTCTTCTAATACAAGCAATGGGTGACCTTTTGTTTAAGTCAGTCCTCGATTTGTTGCCGTGTCATGCTGCTCTTGAAAAATGTTACTGCTGAAAATGACTGGTTCTTTTTCTTAGTTTTATTTATAGAAGTAGTAAGTTTCATCTGTTTGGAAAACACTTAGACGTGTACTTACCTATAGGTGTGTTTGGGAAATACAAAATAGTGCCTGATGCGGAGTACTTCCTAAAGTTGTTTTTGTTTGGGGTTTTTTTGCATACACATTTGAAATGAATGTGGTCTCTGCCTCACAGTGTGACACCCATTTTACTACACAGACAAGTGTAGGTTAGCATAAAAGTAAACGTTTGCTAAAGGAGTCTATTTGTAATACTGTGAAATTAATGTAAACAAAAATACTCTCCTAGAAAATATTTTCCTTGAAAACCTGCCAAGATTTATTGAATGCATCTGTCTTGACAGAGCACTTCAGCTGTGATCAAATAAACCTGTACCTTGCAGCGAACAGCTGGAGCTATTTTAAAATGAAGTTAAGCAAGCATGAAGAAAAAAACCAAACCGAGGATGGAAAATAACACCAGGGGGAAAGTAATTAGCCTGATACAGTACAATCTGCAGTGATTCAGGACATTAAAAAGCACGGCCACGTTACAGCGGTGACTCACTGATGAGCTGAACGACTGACCAGGCCGCATTATGACTGCCCGGTGCGCCGCATCCATATACATGGAATTCTCGCCCGTTCCTAACAACCGGCCTCTCTTTCTCTTTGCCAGACTCCACCACCCACGGCCCGCACTACGGCCGGGCCCAGACAGGCACCGCCTGGCAGCACCTGTGCCTCTCCCTGCTTCGCGTGGCCAGCTGGGGCTTTGGTGTGCCCCCCGACCAAGGGTGTGACACCGGCGGGCAGCCCCGGGGCACACGCCGGGGGGCGGCGGGAGCGCGGTCGCTGCAGGTCGGGGGCGCAGCTTTAGGGATGTGCGCTGAGGCGCAAGGAACGAGGAGGTGCGCGCAACTTCCCCCCCCCTTGCCGGGCGCACCGCCTCCCGCCCTCCGCCCATCCCCTTCCCGCCGATTGGCGGCAACGCCCGGGCAGGTGCCGGTGCGCGGCGGGAGCTGCTGCCGCCGGCACCGCAGCAGCACTCGGTGGCGTGTCCGGCGGAGCGGGGAGGGCTGGAGGCGGCGGCGGCGGCAGCGGCGGCGGCGGCAGGAGGAGGAGAAGGAGGAGGAGGAGACGGCGGCTGCGGGCTCTCGCCTTGCGCCGGGCGGTGCGGGCGGGAGCGGGGCACCTGTGCCCGGCGGCTCCGCGCAGGTGGCGGCCGGGGGCGGGCGCGGGGCGGCCGCAGACCCCGCCGTGCATGAGCGACAGGGCGCAGCCGCCGCTGGTGGCTCTGCCCGTGCCCCGAGCGCGGGGCACTCGCTGTCTGCCTGCCATTGCGGTGCAGCCCTCGCACTTGGCCGAGGGTGAGTACGGCCGGGGGCGCGGCCGCCGCGGGCTGGGGCCGGGGCCGGGGCTGGGGCTGGGGTTCGGGTTCACCCTCTGCGACCCCGCGGCGCCGTGGGTTGGCCTGCGGCAGGGCCGTAGCCGCGGGGCCGCAGAGCCCCGTCGGGGGGCGACCGGCGCTGCAGAGCCCGCGGCGGGTCCCCTTGTCCCGCTGGTGAGGGGTCAGACGGGGCCGGGTCCCGCTGGTGGCCCGGGGGCCGCCACCCTCCGCGGCGTTCGGGGGCGAGGCGGGCCGCTCCTCCGCGGCAGCGCGGCATTAGGCATGCTTTTAATTACCGGACAGATGTTCGCGGCGTTCTGCTGACCGCGTGGCTGTTCGAGCGCTGTCACTGCAGTGCATCATCATCATCGTTATCATTGGAGTGTTTTACTCTTGATCAACTTCCCCGCGAGCCCGGGGAGGATTTCAGTGTGGCACTGTCGCTGCCCCCGTTCCTCGGGAGCATCCCGCCACTCTGCGCTTGTAATTTATGCCTCAGACAGAAGCAGTGTGCATTTTCTAGTATCAAGGTCAGTTTATCGTAACTGCTGAGGAAAATACCATATGGCTCGGACTGACTTTTCTTAGGGAATCTAATTAAGTAGGAGCCTGCGTTGTGCTGGGATTTGTGTTATGTTTCAGGCAAGTGTAACCAAATTAGATCACAAAATGCCTTAGAGTGCATGTGCATCCCTCCTCAAGTGTGTTTGCAGGGACATTAACTGTATCTACAATCTGTTTTTGACAAATTATGGGGTTTGCCTTATATCTACCATTTTACTATTTTCTGCATTTCTGAAAATGTGGGTAGCTGTCTTGCTATGGAGACTAGAGTTTCTTAGAATAGGCACAGGAAGGATTTTGGGAATAAAGGCTTTTGCTCATTCCTCTGATAACCCTTTTCTGGAAGGCTGGAGAGAGAGAACAGAGGGACAGTTAGTTTGGTTCCTCACATTACCAGACATTTTTTCTGATCTTGAGGGACCTGTCATTAGGCTGGACAGGTTTTTATGTTTTCTTATTAATGGTGATAGCTGTTACCCATGAACTGCATTGAGACCACTGACTCAGTCCCTGCAGTTAAATGTCAAACAGTAGTATTTGATGCTTAATTCTACCTCTAGAAAGTGAACAGAGCTGTGTAAAAAGCAGAAGGTGATGTATCTTGTATGTAAACCCTCAGGCTACTGCCTTACCCATCATTACTCAGGTACCGGATTGTATGAGAACGTATTTACTGATGCATTATGCCCAAGTGTCTAAAAATGTACAAGGCAATTCTGTAGCCTTCCTGTGGAGTTTGTCAGATAACTTAGTACAATGCATTGAGCAGTTAGAAACAGGGAAGTAGCGTTTTCAGTAGCTGTGATACATTAATTGCCAGTAGGTAGAACTCACAGAAGTCAATTCCACTCTAGTAGCCCCTACTGGGGCAACATATACTTAAAGCACTGCCCCCTGTGACAGGATTTGCCTCCTGGACCTGATGATGATTCAAATGACACAATATTGTCCTTTTTTTTCTTCATCTGAACCAGTACTGTCTGAATCCAGAAAAAAAACAGGATCAAGAAAACTAAGCTAAAACTTCCATTTTCCTGAGCTGGTTTCTTGCTTCCACACTAACCTGATGAATACATCTGAGTGCACTACATAGGGTGTACCCTATGAACACAGTAGTACGAACACAGTAGTGTTGAACACAGTAGTAATTCACCTTTTTCACTTCATACTTGCAGTAAACAGAACACTTGAAGGCCTTGTACTTAAACAAGAAAAAAAAATCCCCAAGTATGCATGGGTGATGCTGAAGAAAAGCTGTATATACCAAATGCACTCTTCTTCATAAACAGTACAACTGTATGAAAAAGTGACTCCTTTGTATAGCCGCCAACATTAACATACCCTATTGTTATAAGACTGGAAACTGCTGTTTGGCAGCATAAACCACCTTAACTTGCCCTTGGAAAGCTGGACAAGTCGACAGAAACTAGTTGAATACAGTTCTATGAAAGCTGTAGGGACACCTTTTCTCTTTGAGAAAACCCATTAATTTCAGTGGACTAGTGCTGCCTTCCTGTGGAATGCTTTATTCACCTTCCTTTTTGGATCCAGGTAAGTTATTTTCTAGATAGATTCTTAGAGATAATAAAGGCCTCTGGTTTACCTCTGAACCACTGACAGTCAGAGAATAAACCAGCCCTGAGTTTCTTATATCAAGAGATTTATAGCAGCTTACTTTCAAAAGATTTTTCGGCTTAAGGGAAGAGGAAGATGACTGCTATATTTCAGTGTGAAGTGAAGCATGTAATACTGTTGCTCAAATTACCAAAGAAACTTGGCCTTTGTCTATGACATAACCAGGAAATTTTGCAGAAGGTCTAAATACAGTGTAATTTGTTAACATTTCAAGATATAGTCTGGTTTTGTGAGATTGGTCAAAGGTGCCTATATCCAAAATTTATGTGAATTTACAGAAACCCAAGAGGAACTTGGCACACTAGTAAGATCTGTTGTTTGTATGGAAGACCAGTGATTGTGCTTGCTAGCAAGATGTGCTCGCTATTTAACTTTCAACTGAAACATGTTATCCTTTTTTATTTTTTAATAATCTTACAGAAAAATGCCATGCTGCATTTTTTTAAAACTTCATTTTCAGTAAATATTATATTTGACATTTGATGTCCTGCAAATTAATTAATAAAACACACCGTAGTGGAAAGCAGTTTAGTGAATCACCTAGCAGCTTTATCCTAGATGAAGAGGGTATAAAGACTGCAGTTGCTTGACTGGTCAAAAGTTAATATCAGCATTATTGCAATAATGACAGATTTTTAGATCTTAGGGATACTATTCTGGGAGTAGGAACACGACAAATTTCCAGGCCAATATGCATTAAATTTTAACAGCACAGCAATTTTTTTTTCTTTTTAAGAATGTTATACTAAGAAAACCCCTTGTCTTTCATTTTTTTACTGACCCATTAGTCCCTGAGCTGGGTAAAGGAAACAAGATCTCTTGCTACTTTTTATTACCTATATGCTTCATTTACCTTATGATCAATTGATGATCATAAAAGGAAAAACTAATATTGGGGTTTGGTATCCAGATTATTGGAGTTATTACTATCTACTGGTTGTTTTAAGATATAAACCATTATCAAAGGAAATGAATTTTACATTCTTCAAGGCAAAGTATACTTCCAAATAAAACATCACTTACTGAAGTGGAGCTAACTACTGCGGAGGTTAGTCTTGAAGATGAGACGCTTTCAATGGTGTTGTCTCCAGTTGACTCACAGTAGTCAATTAAGCAGTCTTCTTGAGTTTTGCTGGTGCTGGCTAACAGTCAGGAAGGAAACTCTAGCCTTTCCTCCTGCTGAAGACCCAAGCTCAAGTTCTGCTGTGCAGTAGTTTCAAGAATCTCCTTCTGGACAGCAACATATGCTGTTTATTGATGGAGAAGAATAAATGGATTAGTGACTTAGTGCACCCATAGTTTCTGAATTAAGTCTGTTTAAAGGGTGCTGAGGTAATTTAGTGTAGAAAATGAGATGTAGTCTCTTGTGATAGTAATCTGAAGTGCAGAGCCTCTTTCAAAGGCTGTTAAAGTTCATGGCATTCTCACTGGCTTTAATGAGTCTTGAAGCCAGGCAACAGCTTGAAATTTTTGGGGTTTTTAAATAACAAAAGAAGCCCTTACCCAGCACCCTCCACCTATCTCCATGCAGAAAAATATGTGACTTTGCTGTTGTAAAACAACTTTCTGTTCTTTGAGGAAGGCAGTACATAATCTGTTGTTTTCCTTCTTGAAAGGAAAAAAGCAAAATATATTTATAACTCGTGGAATAAACTTTTCTACTCTTGTGATGAGTTTTGTCTCTTCTGAAACTAACACAAGAGCTTCTTTGCTTATCGAGCATTACTTCTGTTACTGAAATGGGTTTTAATGATGTTTTCTTCTGTCCTTTTTGAGCTGTGTGAACAGGATGTTGTGTCCCAGGGTAATCCAAAAAGGAAAGTGCTGGTTTGTGCTGTTATCATTAGTTGCTATGGTATGGATGTTCAGTGTACGATTTAAGTGCTGTTGACTGAGATGCAGCTAACGCTGATGTGAAATACCTCAAGTTGCAGAGTGTACCTATTTTTCTAAGCATTGTTTATCTTGCAAGAGATCATCCCCAGGAGTGCTTGGTGTACCTTTCTGGAAGTTATCTCAATGCTCGCACCTAGCTGTCATAAGTGCTTTGACATTTGTTTGACAGACCGTGACTTGGATTTAAGTTAAATCATAGTGCGTGAATTGGAGCAACATCAGGTTTTAAAAACAATTGAAAGAGCTTTGGGGAGGACTCAAAAAGGTATATTCTGGTGATGTTGTTTTTCAGAGTCTCAGCTGGTCTTGATCTAAAAGGCAGTGCCAAAAATTGTCCATATGTTAATCACTGTAAGCACAAATGCCATGGGTTGAGTCCTAAATGAGAAGAAACCAGTTCACCTCTAGAGGAGAATAAACCTGATTATTCTACCTCTCACAGTTCTTTTCTAGTGTTTGATGATAAGGCTTCGTATTCCTGCTTCAAAGTAGTATCACAGGTCAAAAAGAGGCAAATCAATGGAAATACTGTGGTCTTAGGTTCTGCATGTGATTAAGTGAGGTGCCTTAGTTAGTTCCTAAAGGTGATGGCTTAACTGGATTATGTTGCTCAAATAATATGTTATGTGGGACTCAAAAAGCTGTCTGTGCAGGATGGCTGGTTCCCTAAACCTATAAGAGCATGAACTGTTTTGGTTCTATAGTTTAAACTAAAGGAGCTATGAGGCTGTTCCAGTTTGGATTCAAATATAAGTGAACCAGCAGTCAAAACCTGGCAGTGAAGTTGGCCTTTGAACTCCAGAAAAGGCCTGACAGTGTCTTATACTTGAATATAAACATTCTTTGTTTGTATAGACTTGGAATCTAGAACTTCGGGTTTGCGTT